AAGCCCGGGGCAGAGCAACTCTGCCTCGGGCTTCCTGTAGTCAGCGCTGGTCAGTTTCAGCAGCGGCTGACTTGGGGACACCTGGGGCAGAGCAGCTGAGGTGCTGCCAGGTTGGTCCCCGCAGTGCCGAGGTGTGGCGCTGCGGGGACCTACCTGGCAGCGCCCCAGCTGCTCTGACCCAGGCATCCAGATTCAGCCACTGTTGAAACTGATCAGCGGCTGATTCCAGGAAGCCCGGGGCAGAGCAACTCTGCCTCGGTCAGTTTCAGCAGCGGCTGAATCTGGACGCCAATTCCGACTTACATACAGATTCAACTTAAGAACAAACCTACAGTCCCTATCTTGTACGTAACCCCGGGGACTGCCTGTAAGTGGTCTTGGACTTGGAACTTGTGACTTCTCATCCCTGTTCTGCTACTTAATTGTTGAGCGGCTTTGCATGGCTAACCAGGGTCTTGACGCTCATAAATGGTGGTTCTGTTCCTGGAAACCCATTTCATACCCAAAAAAATCAAAATTGGCTATGGAAATGAAGGAAAATTAAACTAAATAGTTAAAATAATGCACAAAAATAACTAAAAAGTGAAGACCGGTGTGGCGGAGATACGCACAATTCAAGCAGCAGCTGCAGACTGGGGAGTCTGATTGACCTTGTGCGTTTCCTGTTTTGGGATGATGTGTGGAGTCTGCGTTGTATGCCATTGTAAATGCGAGCTACGGACGTAAGTTGGGGGTTTTAAGAGCTATCTTGCATGAAAAAAATGGTAGTAAATGCGGAGAGTTGTAAGTTGGGCAGTCATAAGTCGGGGGTTGCCTGTATGCAAGTCTGAAGTATCGTATTCTGATGGATTTACTTCTTATCTTCTTTTGATTATCATATAGGTCCTAATGTAATTGAGTCCAGTGCAGTAATAGCTAAAGTGAATAACAATTTAAAGGTAAGAGTTATGTTATATTGTTATTACATGGCAGGCACTGATTATATCATTTGTTAAAGTATTTTATTAATTTACACACAAGCTTAGGAAGTCATGTTTTAAATATAATTTTCTATTTTGGTATATCTATGTAGCATTGTGCTTTCCATCTCATCAGAATTTTCCTTTGATTAGTGCTTTATGCTGCCTCTGTGTGGCAGTGGAACTTGGGGTCAGATGGGGAAATGCTGCGTGGAGCCCAGGATCAGCTGGGGAGTCCCCAGCTGCCCCGGGGCTGCCCCCTTTGAAACGGCACGAAGGCGGCGTTTTAAAGGGGCGGTGGCAGCACAGCTGCCCCTTTAAAATGCCGCTTCCACACACATTTCAAAGGGGGCAGCCCTGGAGCCCAGGGTCAGCTGGGGACTCCCCAGCTGATCCCAGGCTCCGTGTGGCATTTCCTCCGCATGGGTGGGTAGTTCCCGGCTGACCCCAGGTTCCACATGGCACTTCCCTGGCTCTGCTGTGAGGTGGGTGCCTCTGCACATTTCAAAGGGACAGTGGAGCCTGGGGTCAGCTGGGGAGTCCCCAGCTGATCCCGGGCTCCAGGTTGTGTTGTCCCTTTGAAGCGCTGTAACGTCACTTCAAAGGGGCAGCGCAGCATTAATGCCTGCGATTAACGCATTAAGAAATTTAACGTGTTAATCCTGGACTGCGTTAATCGCAGGCATTACCGCATGTCAATTGACAGCCCTAGAAAAAACCAACAATGTAGACATAGCCTGACTCAGGAAGTGTAGAGCAAAATATAAAGTTCTGTTGGCTCTTGATTTAAAAATAGAAAACCGTGTTTCCTTTCTGTACTTGCATTCTCTTTAACTGTTTGCTGGTGCTTTTATTTTCTTTAAATTCTTCTCTTTCCTTAATACAAAGTTACACAGACTTATTCAAGAGTGGTGTTCACATCAGAAGAACACTACCAAAATCTTCCCCTTCCTTTTCTGTCAGAAGTGTAGAACAATAACACAAGTCTTGATTTGTTTCTTATCCAAATGAAAAGTGCAGTAGGACAAATGTGAATTACCTCAAATGCTTTTTGTTTTCTCCCAGATGAGGCCATTTAAATTAAAGTCAAACCCGTTGTCTACTTATAATCAGCAGCTGTGGCTAACATGTATGGTTCAGCTGGATCAGCCTGATGGTAAGCACCTTGTCCAGTTTTTATTTCAGAAAACTGTCCTTATCCTGGAACTTAATTGCAGTAGGTATAACAAGTTAATTATGGTTACAGTAGTTGGCCTGTATTTCACTTAGCTACCATGCCATGTTGTTATGTAGTTTTATCTGAATCCAAATGCATGGAGGAAAAATCTATGCATCACGATAAATATGAATATGCAGATCTTGACTTGTGTTAGTTAAGAAACTAAGAGAGTGGCTGCAGGGAAATTCCAAAGTTGTTTATTTTTTATACTTTTTGCTAAATTAGTAATGTATGTGACTGCAAGTTTGCTCTTGTTTGGATTAGACTAATCAATGTTATATGATATCGATTATGGAGTAACACTTAGATTCTCAAATCCTACTGTTGGGTATTTCTAGTTGTTCTGAATAGAACACTGATTTCAATGAGAGGTCTTGACCAAGTCAGGAATGCAGGGGTTTTCTTCTTTAATATAACAAAACGTACCTAAGTTGACTCCAATAAGCTGGGAGCATTGCTGCACCTAGTAGCTAATTGAGATTTCATTTCTGCATTTGTTTTGGACAACAGCCTAAGATCTTCCTCTTTAGTTACAGAATCCAGCTTCAAACTAAATGTTACTATGACTGTGAAATTACGTGGTGTAGAAGAAAATGGAAGCTCATCATTCATTAATAATCAAGTTCACAATCGGATGAGAACACTAAGCTGTGCGCAAGTAAGTATTTTTTTGGAAACCACACTGATTGTAAAGCTTATTCTTTTAAAAATACTTGTGAGTTGTAGATGTGGGGAGAATGTTTGATGAGGAAGCCATGAGGAAAACCTTCAGTAAGAGTTTGTCTACATTATGGTTGCAGTTGTGCTAGTAATGATGTGTTTGAATGTGGATTTTGCTAGCAAGGTTGTTACATGGCATCCTACAACAGTGTGTGGCATGACTTCTTTTGAGATGCACAGCAACAAAATTATAATATAGAATGCTTTTCAGATTTTCAATAGGAAGAATGGAACTGAGTTACAAAATTAAAATAAAATAAAATATCTCATCCATACTGAGTAAATGATAAAACTGAGATAGTCGTAAGTGCACTTAAATGCAGTTGCTGCAGGCAGTGTTTTAGTTATTAATGGGGACAGATCCTAAATGGAAGAATCAGAATGCAGTAGTATAGTCACTGTTTTGAGTCTCTGGCAAAATGTTATTTGTGTTTTCCTTTAAGATTTTTAAGTTGTAGCATACCTTATGTTCAGCATCTAAGAGTTGAGTTAGTTTAACTGAAAAACCATTAAACAGCTCCTCATGAGTGAGACTTCCTTTAGAAGAAAACCTGGGGCCCATCTATCATAAGTCAAATATTCTGGACTTGACATATTTTATTGTCTCTAATGGATTTGTATATTTTTAAGGTCCCCAAGCATTGGTTAGCCTTCAGGCTGACTCAGGATAGTTGAATCTTATGCACTCCATTTCCCTCTTCTTGTACTCCTTCATGACTGATGGTGTTTCTTTGGAGGAGTGTGAGACCCACCCTGTCCTGCCATGCTGTGACATACATAAACACCCCCAAATCCTCTTCAGTGCCATCAAGTTGTTTCTTTGAAAGGCCTTACTTAAATGTCAGCTGCTGGAGTTTGAACCTGAGCAGGGTACAAAAGTGTGTTTGTACTGCCATCTTGTTGGTTGAAATGGAAACAGCTTACACAGATGGGCAGACTTAAGAACATAAGCAATGTTCCTTTCTTAGTAGGTGTAGATAGGACCCTACCAAATTCATGGCTATGGAAAATCACATAGATCATGAAATCTGGCCACCCCCTATGAAATCTAATTGTCTGTGTGCTTTAACCCAGTACTATACAGATTTCACAGAGGAAACCAGTATTTCTCAAATTAGGAGTCCTGAACCAAAAGGGAGTTACAGGGGGATTGCAAGGTTACTTTAGAGGGATTGTGCTATTGCCATCCTTACTTCTACACTACCTTCAGAGCTGGGCAGCAGGAGGAGGACAGCTGTTGGCCACATGCCCAGCTCTGAAGGCAGCATGCCACCAGCAGCAGTGCACAAATAAAAATGGCAATACTATACCATAGCATCTGTGCTGCTACTGGTGACGGCTCTGCCTCCAGAGTTGTGCTTCTGGCCAGTAGCAGTTGGTCTCCAGGTATCCAGCTTTGAAGAGAATACCACTGCTAGTAGCAGAGCAGAAGTAAACACAACTCTTTTTTGGGTCAGAACCCCTATGTTACAACACTTTGATATTTCAGATGTAAATAGCTAAAATCATGACTTTTTTTTATTCATAAATTTCAATGGCCAAGAAATCGACCGAATGGACTGTGCATTTGGTAGGGCCCTAGGTATAGATTAAAAAATCGGGCAGTTATTTGAAAATTACCATAGGTTGGAGAATGAATATTCTAGATAATCAGGGGAAATAGTGGGTTGAGCAAAGAAAGCCTAGGGTGCTGGTGCTGCTGTTGAGTTGTTCGAGCTGAGTTGTTGCTCGTGTGTTCACAATTTTTGGTTTTATGGGTACAAGGGCATATAAATATCCTTCAGTGGGTGCTAATCTGCTTTGGAAACATTAGAATTGTCTTGATCTCCTTAGCTCTCTGACACTTCAAGAAAGAACAGCACACAAACATCTAAAAATAAGGTCACTTGTCTTTTTCAGGTCATCTTTTAAAAAAATTACTAATATCTGGAGATCTTAAACTTAAGTACTTTTTTACTGAGAAATATAGTGTGGTATTTTGACCGGTGGACAGTTTACACCTATTGGCTACGTCAAAAGTTTTGTGCAAAAGGACTTTTGCCAAACGGGAGCAGCATAGTATTTCCGCAAGAACACTGACAATCTTACATGAGATCGTCAGTGCTTTTGCGGAAATTCAAGCGGCCAGTGTAGACAGCTGGCAAATTTTTCCGGAAAAGCAGCTGATTTTCCGGAAAAACTGGACAGTCTAGACACAGCCAAATTGAGTTTTTACTTTGAGTGCCTTAAATATGTTCGTGTGGAATCTCACTCCAATGTCCCTATTTGTTTTTTCATTATAACTTTGTTAGTCATTTTGTTTGTAATTGAATCGCACTGAGGTGTAAGCCCTTAATTATGAATTACAATATAAAGCTATTTAGAGGTTTTCTGACTTTACTGTATGTTTTCATAGAAATGTGCTGAAATCATTGTAGTTCACCTTGGCTACCTGAACTACACTCAGTATGAAGTCATTGTTGATTTTGAGGGTCTGAATAAGCTGCCGTTCCCCATCAAGAATGTGAATTTCACAGTAAGTCAACAGTATCACATTAGCAAAAAAAATCTTCTGTTTTAATTATTGTTGCAGAAGGCTACTTTAATCACAGTCAAAAGTACAACATTTTCCTTTTGAAGGTGAAACAATTGCACAGAAAAAGTGTGGAGGCTCAGGCCCTACCCCCACTGAGATAATCAACGTGCTTTATTTGATGTTGAGATTCTAGTACAAAATTGGAGAAAGGTTCTTCTGCCGTAACTGTTATAAAATTGTTCCTACCGAGGGGAGTATTCTGTAGTATTATTCTCAAGGAAAAAAAATATCTTTGTCAGCCCTGGGAAAGCCATAGCTGTTCAAAAGAGATTACAGCTAGTATAGTTCTGATTAGTATGGATAAGGAAAGCCTTTTCAGAAAGCCAATCTATATTTTTTTACAACACACCATTGAAAAGAACTTGATTGCACATGGAAAATTCTTGACTTATTCTGATAGCTCTGAACTCAGGCATTGCTGAGAAATAACTGTAAAATGGATACACTTGCTGGTTATTATCATACAAATAGACAATCAAAAAATTGCATTTCTATCATTCTCATGTTCAGGGGGGCCAACAAAATTGCCGGGCCCCTGGGCAAGGTAAGGGAGGGCAGCTCTGTGCTCCCAGAAGGGGCAGAGCCTTGGCTGGAAGTGCAAGACTGGGGCAGCCAGCCCACAGCATGCTGCACCCCCTCCCTTCATGCAGCCCTCAAAGCCACCTGTAGCGTGCTGTGCAACACTGTCGGGAATTTAAAGGGCCTAGGGTTCTAGCCACCATCGCTGCTGTAGTAGAGGCAGCTGGGAGCCCTGGTCACTTTTGAATCACCAGGCCTTTGGGCAACTCTCCCCTCCCCTCTCACCCCCAATTGCATTGTTGGGATCTGAGCCGAGAAGAAATGGCTTGTTTAGACAGGTTAATATGTGCAATCAAATCTTACCTCAACCAATCATGTATACCGGCCTTTCACAATTGTTACAGTAGGTGTATTGGGATTAGCAGGATTTCTCCAAACTTTCCAAAAGAGTATGGGGTTAGAAACATTAACAGAGCACTACATTCTTGGTTGGATTTTTGTTAGTGCCCGTCTCTCTCCCCCTCCTCCCCTCCCCTCCCTTCCCCCCCCAGCCGCCATCCACCCCATACACAGTGTTGGGAGGAAAAGGAAAAATGTATTCAAGACAAGAAGGGCAATTCTCTTCCCTGGGGAAATGTGCTATGTAAAAATGATAGTGTATAAAGGTCACTTGCAAAACAAAATGTATACCGTAGGGATGTCAATGTGTAGTCAATTGTACGATTAACTGATAAGCTCAGGCTTATTGGTTAACCTTGTCGACTACACGCATCTTCCCTCCTGCCCACCTGTATCAGCAGGAGTCGGTGCTTAAAAGCCGGTTCCCCCCCAGCACTGGCTCCGCAATACCGACTCCCCCGTGGACCTGAACTCCCCGCGGACAGATGCTGCTCTGTCTCCCATAGAGCAGCCTCTCTCCTTGATGAGCCTGGGCTCACCACAGACAGAAGTGGGTCGCAGGAGACAGAGGCTGCTCCTTGGGAGGTGGAACAGCTTCTGTCGGCGGGAAACTCGGACCCCTGCAGACAGGGGCTACTTGTCGGACAAGTCTCTGTCCGTGGCCAGCCCAGGCTGTTGCAGACAGAGGCTGCTTTGCAGCAGCCTCCCCTGGCCCCCACAGCAGCTGCTATCCACGGGGAGCTTGGACCCCTGCAGACAGGGGCTGCTGCCACCCTGCGCCGCTGTCTCTGTATCACAGGGAGCAGTGTGGGGTGGCAGGCAGCCAGTCTGCACAGAGAGTTTGTTTTTAAACTGGCTCTCCTCACAGACTGGCTCCCGCCTGGCACCCTGAGCAGCTGCTTCTGATATAGAGGCAGCAACACGGAGTGGCAGGGGGCTCCCTGGAAGTGGGACGCACTGGCTGCCGGCCCTGTCCCCTGGGTACTATCAAATAGTCATGTAACTGATAAGAATTCCTGTGGTAACACTGTTGTTCAGTTATCTGGTATCTGACATCCTTAATTTACAATACTTGACTAATTTGTGCTGAGTGCCTCCAAATACAGTATATGAAAGAAATCTCTGGCAGGTCTTGTCTGTGCTGCTGTGGGCTGGGTGTATGTTCCAGCAGTGGCTGCTGTGGTGTGGTATGTAGCATTGTGTGTGTCATAGCTGCTAGCATGCAGGGACTTAAAATGAAAAGGCAAAATGTTGGTTTTTAGTTCTTTACATACTGAATGCACCACTTGGCTGGGTAAGTGGAGCATGTTCAACACATTAGCGAAGTGATATAGTTTATCAAGTTTTGCACATCACCTTTAAGAAAGCCTAGCAAAACTTCATTTGCTCAGGGCAAATAAAATCACATTTTATTATTTGTCTTCCTTGTGCTATTTTATTGTTTATATTACATTTAGTGCCTAGTATTCCCTGCTGAAATTGCACTATATATAGAGAGCCCCACTATGCTACCCAGTGTGTAAAGTACAGGTTGCACCTCTAAATCCGGGATTCTCTGGTCCGGCAACATCCATGGTCAGGCATGACCACAGATGTTCCAGGTGCACTGCAGGGGAGTGGGGTCCAGGAGCCGATGTGCTGCTCAGTTGGGCTGTGGGAGAAGAGCCAGGAGCTGGCGCATGGCTTAGTTGGGCTGCAGGGGGAGGGAGGAGAGGGAGCCGGTGCATGGCTCAGTTGGGCTGTAAGAGGGAGCCGGTGCACTTGTCTCAGTTGGGCTGCAGGGTGGCGAGGTGGGGCGGGAGCCAGTGCGCAGCTCTTCTGGTCTATGGATGGGGACCAGTGAGCTGGCGTGTGGCAAATCTGGGCTGCAATGGGGGCAAGGAGCCAGCGCGTGACTCAGCTGAGCTGTGGGGCGCAGGGGGGCAGAAAGCCCGGTGTGTGTGTGGGGGGGGGAGGGTCTAGTGGGACTGAGGCAGGCAGCAGGGGGCCTGAAATGACTTCCCCGGTCTGGAAGAATCCTTCATCTGGGACCTTTCAGGTTCCTAGGGTGTTGGACCAGGGAGATCCAACCTGTACGTGGTGCCTGATCTAAAGGGCTTATAGTCTAAATAGACAGCATAGACCAGTGGTTCCCAAACTTTTTGGCATCACACCCCCTTTTTGATTTGAGAAATCCTCTCCTCCTCTCCCCCCCCTCCAAAATAGCAGCAAAACTTGTTTAGTTTAGAAAAGAGAAGACTGAGAGGGGACGTGATAGCAGTTTTCAATTACCTAAAAGGGTGTAAGGAGGTGGGAGGAAAAATTGTTCTCCTTGATCTCTGAGGATAGGACAAAAAGCAATGGGCTTAAATTGCAGGAAGGGAGTTTTAGGTTGGACATTAGGAAAACCTTCCTAACTGTTGGGTGGTTAAACATTGGAATAAATTGCCTAGGGAGGTTGTGGAATTTCCATCTCTAAAGATATTTGAGAGTAGGTTAGACAGACAGCTATCAGGGATGATTTATAGAGAAATAAAGAAACCAGTGTCACAGGGAGGTGAAGAGAGTTGCCTAAAGTCACATAAGGGGCCAGAGAACGTTGGCGAGTAGATTTTGTGCAAATTTACTCAGCTACAGATATGCATGGTCTTCATGATAAAGAAACTTGCAGTGGATTGCGTCAATTGATGAACTGAATGTAAAGTCTTAAAGGGAAGTTAACTTGTGTTTGTTTCTTCTCTTTTTTGCCTTAGTGTATGGCTTGGCATGTATGATGGCACTTTGAGAATGTAACATGCTGCTGCTTTTTCCTGTAACTAGGCTGCTTTAACTGTTTTTGTTTATTGAAATTGTCATAATTATATCTAGGTTGGAGGAGGTGAGGCATGAATTACCCTCTATCTTTTTAAGATGGTGCAGTGGAATTTGCAATAGCTTGGCCATTAAACTTAGGAAAGCTAGTGGATTCATCTGTAGATACTCTTAAGCAATATTGTGTCTGCAAGTACTAGTAATTTTTCATGTCATGCAAATTCTATCAGTTTCCTTTTAACATGCTAACTTATCCTTTTTTTTTTTTTTTTTAATCTTGTAGTGGAAAACCTACAACCCATCTTTCTCACAAGTGGAAATCTGGTTCCGGTTTGTCTTTGTAGTTCTTACTTTCCTGGTCACTGTGAGTACAATCTCTTCTTTAACTTTTTTGGAGGGCTTGGGATAGGTGTGCAGGTGGCTAATTCAACTACAGGTTGGATCTCCCTGGCCTGGCACCCTTGGGACCTGACTGGTCCTGAATGAGGGATTTTGCTGGACCAGGGGAGGTTATATTTGGTTCCCCTGCTACTGGCCCCCCTGCCCTGGACTGGTCACCAGCCAGCTGCCCATACCCCCCTCCCCTCCCACCGCCTGCTGCCTGCTCCACTGCCCTGCTGGTTTCCCCCTTCCCTGCTAACATGGGCAGCCCAGCTCTAGTCCCGCTTCCAGTGTGCTAGGCTCCTGGTCCCACTGGTAGCCTCGCTGCAGGGAGCCCAGTCGGCAGCCCTTCACCCAGACGCTCTGGTCCTGGAACATCCATGGTCCTTCTGGACCACAAATGTTGCACCACCTTCTGGACCACCAATTTACAGAGGTTCAACCTGTACTACATACTCTTGTGTTTGGTATTGTAACTGTCAACAACAGCAAAGTCTCATACTGTGTGTATGTGCAAAACCATTTTTACTTTCAAATCCATTTGTGCTTTAAAATTTTTGCAAACGATGGAAGAATTTAGTTCAGTCTGAATTTTAAAGTTCAGCAATGTTTGGGGTTTTTTATTGGTGGGAGAAGCTTTGCAAATAAGAAAAATGATGTACTCTGTATAACTCAAAATGGCTGAGAGAATTTTGCTTAGACTTTCAAGAAAAAATTCACTTTGGAGCTGAGATCAAGATTAAGTATGTCTTAAAATCTGGAGTGGAAAATTTCTGATTCGGTGAATGAAAACACTGGGTTAGAGTGCAAGTCCCAATTTTTAAATTGGGTACTACTACACATTTCTTCCAGAATAATGTATACACATACACACCCCACATTTTTCAAGTAACAATGAATGTGGTATGTGACCTGGCCTGTCAATGATGTTTGTTGGCTTGCTTACACAGATATGTATGTTGTTATAGTATAGTATATACAGAATACCAACAGTAGATTGACAATAGTACACAAATGATGCTGATTTGTGCAGTAGAAACTACAGGTTGGAACTCCCTGGTCTGGCACCTTTGGGACCTGACTGGTCCCGAACTAGGGGATTTGCTGGACGGGGATGTCTCTCCCGTCCTGGTCCATGCTAAACCGCTGCCCTCACCCTGTTGCTGCCTGATCGCTCCCTGGGCCTGAGGCCTCTAGGTCCCACTAGGGCCACATGGCCGCAGCTGGAGCTGCGTGGCTACTGCCAGCCCCCTGCTACTGTCCAGCTGTTGGGGCCAGATTTCCCTGCTGTGCCGCCTGTCCCTGCCCCCCACCTTTGGATCTCCTGGCTGAGTTGCCAGCCCCCTGCTGCACTCCTGCCCAGGTACATCTGTGGTCCAGGTACATCTGTGATCCTGCCCAGACCATGGATGTTGCCGGACAAGAGAGTCCCAGTTAATGGAGGTACAACTTGTAGTTTCCATTTCAGGCTGTCCCAGAGATTAAGTGAATTGCTCAAGGTCACACAACATATCAGAACCAGAAGTATACCCTTGGAGACCTGACTCCCAGTAATAGAATCTACTCAACAAAGCATGCTTCCTTTCAGAAAAATTATGAGTGCGTTCCAGTCTCTTGTTAGCTCTGCTAAAGCTAAAAAGGCAAGATTGATGAAGGCTCATATATGTAATATAGTAATTGGCAGCTGCCAATATTTTCTTTTTTGCAGTGTCTGTTTGCACATTCCCTTCGAAAATTCTCCATGAGGGACTGGGGAATTGAACAGAAATGGATGTCCATCCTCCTTCCTCTGTTGCTGCTTTACAATGGTATTTGTGTGTGTATATATAAAGCCATTTTTTTAGGGTTCTCTTACTCAGCGTGGTCCCTTTAAAATATATAGCTGTTTGTAAGAATTCGGTCACATTATCATTGGATTTCTTTTAAAATATACAAATAAATCCCTTCTTTTCTATAGGTCACATCTTTTCAGTCCTTCAAATAAATGTCATTCCAGTTTAAAATTCTGAATTGGATAAATGTTGTCTTACCTGTTTTAAAGATGGTAGTATTATCCAACCAGTGCATTTATCTGAGCATCTTTTTGGAAGCACTGAGATACCAGTGATTGCCAATGAAGCATGGATGCTGTTTTTAGTCTTTAGCTTGTAAACCAAGCCAAATTGCTAGAGAGATCAAGTATATATCAAAATATCATTTTACCCCATAATGACATGTCCTCACCTTTCAAAAAGGGGCAAAAGGACCCCATTCTAAGGAATTTGAATGAACCAAGGCCCAGAAAGAGGCCTCGTGGAAGAAGAAAAGAAGCAGTCATAGGAAATGTGGAGTTGGGTGTGAGGAAAATATTAGGATATTGTTCCTTTAAGTGCCCAGGATCAGGAGCCTTTTGGGTGGGGTGCAGGGCTCCTCTCACTTCCAGGCAATCAGGAGGAGCTCTTCCTGCAGAAGGCCAGTATATAGACTGCCTTCTCCATTAAAAAAAGGGAGACATTGACAGGTTGTCAAGAGCTGAAAAGCTAAAATCTAGGGAGAGGCAGCTATGAGAAGCAACCTTGTGAAGAGCAGGCTATGGATGGCAGAAGAGCCAGAGAGAAGTATGGACCTTTGGATTGCAGTGATGGACTTTATTGATAGGAATGTTTGAGGACATTAAATCAGTTCCAGCTGGAGTCTATGGGGTATTTGTAAGTGGTCCTGCAGGGAGAGAACAGAAGGGGCTTGCTGCAAAAGGAACTCTGGCCACATGGAACCCCACAGGCAGCAGCAGCCCTGTTTTGTGCCCCCAGTAACTCAAACATAGAACTACACTGAGACCCGACTTTAGGCAACCATCATGAAGCAGTTGTGTAGTAGGTTCCATCTAACTAACAAACATTAACTATACTGGAAATCTTGGGGCAAAGCTTAGTGATTGCGTAGCACAGGGAGGAGCAACTATGGAGGTTCCTTGTATTTTGTATTAACTCGTGGGTTTAACCAAGGCAGTGTTACTTTCTTATTAAGATTTTGAAAAATCTGTCTGTTCTCTGAAAACTGTTTGGTTTTTCCTCCCCTTTGATCGATAATGGGTGAAATAGTTTAATTTTTTTTTCCATTCTGTTTCAGATCCATTTTTCCCCCTCTCATTTTTGGTGAACAGTTGGTTTCCTGGAATGCTCGATGACCTCTTTCAGTCAGTGTTTCTGTGTGCATTGCTGCTGTTCTGGCTCTGTGTCTACCATGGGATACGAGTGCAGGTAAGCAGAGGACAGTCACTCAGTACATGCTGCACAGAGATTGGCATTAATTCAGTTTTGTATTATGTAGTTTTAATATTTCTCCCTAATTTATGTGATATACTTTTTTTCCAAGCTGTTGACAAAATTAAATCATGCCTAATATGTAAGTGTTCATAAAGCTTATTCTATACACAGTGTAATGTGACTTTTTATTGTATCCATATGTTAAATTCATTCTTCCAATATATTTCAGATCTCCTGTTTTTTGTATATTCTAGTTCATCATTTAATGGATTCACAGAGTGATAATACTGTTGTGAAAGCCTGATGTAGGGTTTTAACGTTTGTGTTATAACTTAACTATGTGATTTGTGGTTTGTTTTTTCTGTGTTTTGTGACTCCTGCTAGGGAAGAAATAGGGCTCTCTGTTATAGAGCATGGTTTCTCCACCTATTTGATACCAAGACCAGCTTGCTGCTTTCCTTTAAACTCTGTGAGGGAGATCGCCGGTGACCAGCATAGAGAATACTATCAAGTTACTTTTTAAGCTAAAATGACTAGCAGTGAAATACTGAGCTGTTCTTGCACAGTCTTACTGGAAGTTCACACCTCTTGGTTGTTGTTCTAAATTAGTTGCAGAGCAGCACTGCAGTAGATTCCACTTGGTTCATATTTGGAAGGATATTATTTTACAACCATACATTTTATAATAAAAATTCAAGAGACCTTCAAATTCTGGAGAACAGTTTTATGGAAAGAATTGTATCCCACAGCTGCAGCATCAATGAAGTACATCAAATGTTGTAATAAAATCCTCACATACCGTTCTCCTTCAAGAAATTCAGTCCTAAATTTGATTAATTTTTTTTTTAATGAGCGTCATCAGCATGGAAGTATATCCTCTGGAATGGTGGCTAAAGCATTAAGGGTTGTACAAATGATTAGCATATCTGTAACATAAATGCCTTGCAATGCCAGGTATAAAAGTCCCATCAAATACCAGGTCTTTCTGGTGACTTTGTAAGTAAGAAATGGGTATAATTATTTCCTGTATATGTAAACAGTCTTGTTTTTCTTAGCAATTGGCTGAACACGAAGTAGGATTAAGTGAACTTGTAGGCACTAAAGTTTTACATTTTGTTTTAGAGTGCAGTTAAGTAACAAAAAAAATCTACATTTGTAAATTGCACTTTCATGATAAAGTATTGCATTATTTTACTTTTATGAGGTGAATTAAATATTGATAGTAAAAAATAATATAAAGTTAGCAATGTTCACTTTGTAGTCTGTTGTAAATGACCAATATATTTGAAAAGATAGAAAAACAGTCAAAAGTATTTAATAAATGTCAGTTGTTTAGGCCATGTAATTAAAATGATTACCTTTTAAGCTAAACACGAGTTAACTGTGATTAATCAGCAGCCCTAATTATAACATAGTTTTTATATACTCTAGTGAACTTTGGATCTTAGAAAATAAATAGGAGATGCTGGGCTTTTTTTAAAAAGCACTTTGGAAGTGTACCCAAAGTATGGCTCTTCCTATTTTAATATGTTGAGAACCACCATTCTCTCACATTCAAATGTTCTTAACCTGTCTTTTCTTGTCCTAACAGGGAGAAAGAAAATGCTTAACTTTCTATTTTCCCAAATTCTTTATCGTTGGGCTTCTGTGGTTGTCCTGTGTTACATTAGGAATATGGCAAACGTAAGTAATTTCCCTTTGTACTATGTTTTAGTGAGGAAAATCTTTTCAGGGAAGAGAAAGGGCTTTATAGTTAGTGATGTCTGTCTGTCTCTGGTATTTTGATGTGATCCAGAAATGAATAAATTGAATTACACCAGTTTTTTCAGATCTTCCCATTTTGTAAGCTGAGACTAACTCTCTCTAATTGCTGCCCTAATTACACACAACTACGTAAGTTCCATAGCCAGTGTGTAATGGTTCCCTATAATATATACTTTGATGTTTTATTCAGATTAGAACAGTATTCAAAACAGAAGAGTTGCCTTTCCAAGAGATGGGGAAAGGGAAAGATCTTACTCTTGGGATATTTTATTCCATTTCATTATGCCAAGTGCTGTGCCCTCTTAGACCATGCTGAATACTTATTTCGTATCTCAGCATTTACATTCTACACGTATTTGTACACTGTCCTACTCACCTCAAGCTGTTATTTAGCTAAGTTTAATTTTTCCTCTTGTATCAGAACCTCTGACTTGTGAAAAATTTTTGTTATTTTTTTCTTAATTCTTTCCGATCTGATAAGCTAACATAAAGATAGAAGCATTCTCCTCTCAGACAACTACCCCACTGTTTGTGGTGATATGACTTTCTAAAGTACGTTACCCATAATTGTGTCCTCCTTAAATTTTGGGGCAAGGGGAGTAAATAGTGGGGTGGGTAAGGTTAAAAACTATGCAACTTGAAGAATATGCTTTTGAAATCAGAGACTGCCCTTCTGCCTGATTAGAAGAGCATACTTGATAATAAGTGATGGGTCTGATCCTACATTTTTTCATTACCACAGACAAACTCAGTGATGATAAAATAAATCAGTGAAACCCAAATTTTGTAGGCAATTACTAGGTGTTAAAATAGCAAAAAATAAACACAGAAAATTAATAAAGAATAGTTTAAAAATCAGTCCCCACATATATAAGTAGAATAAACTGTTCTGGCATTCAACTGGTATAAATCATCTCAATTTAAAATCAATGGAGCTACCAGTTTACATCAGTGAAGATCAGGTCCAGTATCCTAGGGATGTAAGCAACTAGTCAAGTAGTTAACTACCCGATAAGCATAAGCGTATGACAGCTGATTCCCAGCTTGTATCCCTTCCCCTGCTGTGCCTCTGCCTTTTAAATGTAGTAAGAGCCTGGAGGCTGGCAGCTCTTACTACATTTAAAAGGCAGATGTGCAGAGTCTGGGACTGAGAATGAGCTGGGCCCCTGATAGTGCCTGGCCCCCTGCTGCACCTCTGCCTCCCCTGCCCCCCCCTCCCCACCCCAGTGGAGATGATGCTGGGGGAAACTGGCTTTTCAGCTGGCTCCCCCAGCACTGTCTCCTACTTCCCTCTCCCCCTTGCTGCCTGGTGGCTCTTACTACATTTAAAAGGCAGAGTCGCAGTGGGGTTAGCTCCTGGGGCCCTGCAGTTTCCCCCCTTATTGACTAATCGAGTAGTCGATGGAAATTCCATTGACTTCTCAATTAGCTGATTAAATGAAATTTAACATCCCTACAGTATCCATAATCTCTGTATAACTTCAACATGTTTAGAATTCCTACAGTGTTTTTTGTCAATGCATATTTGTAGCTTAACCTGACCTTATTAGAACTGTGATTACTTCATGATTTTTTTTTTATCTTTTCCAGTGTTAATGAACTACATGATCCAACATACCAGTACAGAGTTGACACAGGTAATTTTCAGGTAAGTTTGACTCAAACTTTTTTGACACTTCCATATGGATTCTATACGTCTACTAAGGTAGCACTGGGGAAGAGGTGAGTGGAAAATACCTGGCAGATACTTAGTATTACATTATATTATATATTGTTCTTCAGGCTGAAATGAAACTATTTTTTTGCAGTGAAACTTTAAAGAGCATCAAGTGTTGAAAGGAAGATCTGATGATAAAAATATATTTTCACTGAAATGGTTCAGATTTTTTTTGTTTGGCTAATGCAAGTGTATTTTAAAATGGACCTGAATGTTTATGGAAAGATACTCCCTCTATTGCATATTCTATAGTGGAGACATAGAATGGTTCCTTTTGGATGAAGGAGTATGTGTCTGTAGGCCCACTTCACTGTTAAGAAAGGTATAGTGTGCATTCTGAACTGTCACTCCAGTGAAGATAGTTTGAAATGCCAGCAGCTACTCAGTTGCAATCACCAAGGGCCTCTTGGATCTTATCAGAAATAAATTCATTGCCTTTCAGAAAGCCAAAAAAGAGTTTCTCTTCGTTCTTCATATCCTCAATTCTCAGAACATTTGGTTTTCTCAGCAAATCTCCACTTTCTATTCTGCAGGAGAAATAAGTTTCTGTGTAGCTTCCTGCAGCATCTCACAGTTGAGTGGCCATTTTTAGAAAACTGATATTTGAAAAAGTGGTTTCCTCTAGTGCAACACCTCCTTTCCCCCTATACCATCCCAAAATTGACACACTCTCACCACTGGCAGTTCTGGTACAGACCAGGGAGTATTGTGCTTTCATCCTCCAGCCTAATTGTCCCAAAGAAACAGATCATGCTTTTGGAGATGGTGGTTTCTGTCTCTGGAAAAGAAGAAAAATTAGAATAATTCTTGTTCAGTAAAACTGTATTACATTTTTGTTTCTATTATAGGGAATGAAAATCTTCTTCCTTATGGTGGCAACAGTGTATATCTTGTACCTTTTGTTCCTGATAGTGAGGGCGTGTTCAGAACTTCGTAACATGCCTTATGTTGGTAAGCAGTACTTTCTTCTTGTTTCTTTCAAATCCTCCAGGGATGCCTAAATATTTGAGGAAGAGGGGTGTAAGCTCTCAAATAACTGACAATTGTTCTTACTCTTTTCAGATCTCAGGTTAAAATTCTTGACTGCATTGACCTTTGTAGTGCTTGTCATTAGGTAAGACTTCTTTAAAGTGTATATTCTCTGCATTGTAATATTTATGGCTTTGTAAAACTTTCTTAAAGAAAAGTTCTTGGCAATCAAGTTCAGAATGGATTATCCATTTACAGCTTTCTCTGGGTTCATTATTAAAAATTCCACCATACCCAAGGTACACTTTAAAATCTTGCACACTACTAGCACTTACCAAATAATAGATTACACCACTCGGTTCCATAATCAATAGCTCTTAGTGTACTTACTTTTTTAAAAAATGCCTATTGATATTTTTCCAGAACAGTGCTGTGGGTCTTGAAAAGTGCATGGCCCTCTGTTTATAAAAATAAAGCACCTTTAAAAATGTTCTGTTGCTGTCCAGGCAGACTGTCTGAGTCAGATTTAATAATTTGTTTCCCAGAACAGTAGAGCTCAGGAAGGTTGTGGCCAGAAGGCTTTCAAACTATACGATCCCTTTCTTTTGAAAGACTGCCATTAAATTCTGCCCTTAGCCCAGGAAAGCCAGTGGGGCACCAACAATGCCTGTTTTTAAGGGATGAAGAGAGTTTAGTTAGTTTAGACTCTGGGGCATGTGGTTTCTATAATAGGGGAAGAACGGAAAGAACGTTAACCCAAAATGAAGACATCCCACTCCAACCAATTTAATGCCTTGAAACAATAAGGGGGAAATGAGATTGGGGATCTGGCAGTGATGGTATTGGCTAAGTAGAATGATGAGTGACTAAAAACCTGCTCTGTATGCCTGCATTGAAAAAAAATTGTGCTGATCATCTGGAAGAGCTGAGTAGCCTATTAAAGCTCCAACTTCTACTGTGATTGTGGAGTCCCACACCTGCTGCTGTCCATGACATGAAAATTATTTGCCTTTCAGAAAAAGTTAGATTGACTTTTATGTTGCTCTTTAGAGGGCAGCCCTAAAATGTTGCAAAAGAGAAATGTGTGTGTGAGCCATAAGCCTGTGGGATTGTTCCATTCCACAGGTGATGGTGTCATTATGAATGGTGTTTGAAAGGAAGGGTATAAACTTAAATGTTACATCTCTTGAATATTTTTATCAAAAGGAAAATTATTTCACTCTGGTACAGACTAAGTAAATACGATTTTACAAGCATCAGCAGTTAAGGTGACTGACCCTGTTTTGGGACAAATTTGATGTTAGACATTGGAAAGAGATGATATTAACTCTGATTAAATCTGAGGCAGCCAGTGGCTATATATTGCTCACAGATTTCTATACTGTTGCTTGTGGCTATATTTATCTTCATAATTGAGGTGCAGATCTCAGAGGTGAGAAGACAAGCATCAGTCTGTGAGGATCATCAGATCAAGATGGAACATTTCACATTGGGACTTATAATATCCATGAGGCATGCCTCCATGTTAAAGATGGAGACAGCTGCAATCTATTTCAATGTTACATAAATTAGGTTAAAAAAATTGGGTCTTGGCAAGCTGTCAGTGCAGCCCACATTGTGGTTGCCCCTATAATTCAATTATTTCTAAAGCAGGATTGTGATCTCTGTCTATAGGGATTGTTTGACTAATCTGTTCTCTGGTGAGCACTTCTTGCTCTGTAACCTTCTTTCATGAGGTATTTCAAACACTACTCTCCACTACTTCCACCATCACCGATCAGGCTATAGTTATGGACATGTATCTACCAGAGCTGTTTGGAAGGCAGCATTCACCTTCTGTGGAGTTTCATGTGCTTCCTGACAAAATGTGAAATTCAGGGGTGGGGGGTCAGTTGCCAATGTTTTTTTTCTAAGCTAGGTTCTAATATGCACTCCCCAACGCTGTAGGTCAAATCACTGCTGACTTGTGAATTCTGCTTCATGGGAGACTGAGGAGAAATTTAGGTAAATTTGCCCATTCTTTAACTGAATGACTGCATTTTAATTTAAAAAAACATTCTCTGAATTAGGAGTTGGAAATCAAATGTCTCTTAGAATAAGCAGCTGTATAGTCTAAGACAATTTGCCATTTTTTCTTGTAACTTTGTTTTTACTCTCCATCATATATTGTTACAGTTTGGTACATATAAACCACAATGTCTGTCTTGTCTCCCACAGCATTGTTATACTTTATCTACGCTTTGGATCACAAGTTCTACAGGACAACTTTGTAGCTGAGCTGTCAACTCATTATCAAAATTATATCCTTTCATTGTGGCTTCCAGCCATTGAGAAGTGTTGTTAACTTGTTTCAGTTAAGTGAATGTACAGAGACCATGACTCAGGAGTTACACCTTTCCCTGCTCATTCAGCAGTTCAGATCCAACCCAGGATGCATGTTATTTTCTGATGATTATTCATGATGGCTGCCAAATGAATGTGCTGGTTTCAGACCAGCTCTCTGAGTAGCTGTCCACATCACAGAATCCACAGCTGTAATTGGCACACTTGTCCCTGGGGGATTTAAATCCCTTGTTGGGAAAGTGAGGGAGAAGCCTGGCTCCGCCACTGCCTAGAGTGGCGGCTAGCTCTGTACTACTGCAGGTGTGTTGTCTCTGGTGCCCAGGGGAGGTGTGAGCAGTATCATGGTGCAACTGGACATTGTCCAGGCATAGCTTGCTACAGTTCTAGCTCTTCACAATTTTGGGGAAATCTTCCTTTGTGATACAGCTCCTCTGATGTCATGACAGCTGGAGTACTATTGTAGACCTGTCACTAGCATCTTTACAACTATTTTGTTTAGACCCATTCAATACAGGTCTAAATAACAGAGAGAGGACATGTCAGGGCACAGCTGGATGGGGGAGATGGAAGCAAAATCAATTTACTCTAGTCTTCCACCAATGGGAAATAGTCCCAAAACTGCCAGTTTAGAAGCAGCATTTGCACAGTACTAATTGGATAATCAAGCAGGTAGATCCATCTCCTTCGTTATAAAATATTCTTCTTCTTTGAGAAGTGTCCTTGGGTGCTCCACTCTAGGTGTTTGTGTACCCTTGTGCCTCAAATTGGAGAATTATGGTAGCATTACCCTCGGTAGGTTGTACATGCAGGGCAGCCTGCACACGCTGTTTGGAGCTGCTATCCCGCATGCGCAGCCAGCTGACCCCTTAGTTCCTTCCCTACTACCGTTGGCTTGGTTCGGAACTTAGCAGTCACCCTTGCAATCTTTCTAAAAACAGCTAATTTACTTCTTATCCTTTATTTTCCTCATTTTTATTTACTTCGTTAGTTGTTTTCTTTAAAAAAAAATTGTTGTCACCTTGTGGCTTGTCTGCCCTCTTAGACGTGCCTGGCTCCCCAGGCTTCAAATCTGTCTGACTTACAGACTTTTCACTCCCATATCAGACATACGCTCCCAGAGTGTCTGCTCTCTGAGTGAGGCACATATTACTCAGAAGTGCCCGCACTACAGAACACTCACCACAAGGACAGGAAGGACAGGGAGTTCCAACTCAAACTGTTGCTCATGGAGAAGTCTCGTCATTCGACCTGGAACATACGCCGCTGCCTAGGTAACGCCATCTCGAGTGGCAGTGTCAGAAAAGGCACCTCCCTCAGGGTTGAGCTCCACAGATTGCTTCAGCTGCTATTTCCAGAAAGCGTTCCCATTCTTCGTCTTGGGGTAATTCTCCCTCAAAAAAGCTCCCTCTGGCAAAAAAAAAATCAGCCCTGGTACTGGAGGCACCTAAAGCATCAGACTGGGAGGCACCAGGTATATCTGGCACTGAGACTACACAAGGAGCAAAAGACTTAGCACGGGTCAGCTGGACGGCAGCTTTCCAATTTAAGCCTAAATCGGCTCCGTAGGTATGGACAAAACTGCACACTGCCTCTCCTCTGAGCATCTCAATGCTGCCACCTACTGTACCTATTCATCAAAGCAAGCAGCTGGCATTGTCAGTGCAGACACATCTACCAGCTGTTCCCCTGGTACTTATGTTGGTACCAACCCTCTTCGTACCACAACACCACCAGTAATGCAGACTTGGCAGTCACCTCAGTGCCTGGAACACTGCTGTCCGGTACTGACGGCAACCCAACTACCTTCCAGTTCAGCCTTTCCACTATGCCTGCAGGGTTAGCTCCTCCCTCTCTTCAGGTTTAAATACTCCACACCACTCATCACCTAGACCAATGCAGCAACCTCCTCAGTGGCAATCCCCTCAGTGGTGCCTGCATCTATACCAATACCACTTAACTAGCCTTACTGTGACTCCTGAGCTACATTAAAGAGCCCAGCACCCTCAAACCCATTCAATAACCAGCTCCAGCTCATAGATAACGGGCTTCTCCAGTTCCGTCAGCCATCCCATCAGTGGTTGACCCAGTGAAAGATGCAAAGGTCTTGGAGGATGAGCCTATGATTGAGTCTCCAGCACCTGCACACACGTCCTCCTCCTCACCAGATGACCTGTCGTCTTTCCAAAACTTCATGCAAACAGCAGAGGGACTGAGAGTACTGAGCAGAGAGACCATTCTGCATACATTGGATGCCTGCAGAGCAATTGCTTTTTATATACACAGAACTAAAACATTCTGTAAATCTCAAAGACTTTTCTTCTCTTCTGCAATGAGATCTCAAGGCCAGACAGTCTCTAAGCAAAGGTTATCCAAATGGATCTCCAAACACATCTATCTTTCTTATTGTTTCACTAACCAAGAACCTACAGCAGTCGTGTGCATGTTCCACGAGAGCAATGGCTGCATCAACAGCCTTCCTGAAAAATGTCCCCCTAACTGACATTTGTAGGGCAGCTACCTGGGCTTTGCTATACACCTTCACCAAGCACTATGCGTTAGACACTCAGCCTCTGGTGCACATTTCAGACATACTGTACTGTCCACTATTCAAACATAGACTCCAAAGCCCCCTTCTCCAAGCACAAGTACTGCTCCATAGTCACCTAAAGTGGAACACCCACAGCAACACTCCTTGAAGAAGAGAAGGTTACTCACCTATGCAGTAACTGAGGTTCTTCAAGTTGATTGTCGCAGTGGGTGCTCCACAATCCACCCTCCTTCCCTCTGCTTCATAGTGACCTTGATTTTCTGTATCAGAGAAGGAGCCAAGGAGTCAGTTGGCTGTGCATGTGGGATAGTTATTCCAAACGGCACATGCAGGATGCACTACATGCACAACCTACCAAGGCACAGGGGCACACAAACACCTAAAGTGGAGTACCCACTGAGACAACCATCTCGAAAAACCTCAGTTACTGCACAGGATGAGTAACCTTCTCCTCTTTGAGAGAGATGTCCCTGTGGGTGCTCCTCTGTAGGTGTCAGTGCGCCCCTGTGACATTAATTGGGATCTTTTAAAGCAATGTCCTCATGTGCCATGCCGGTGTGGTGCTTGGTTTGTGCACCTTCAGTTTCCAGATGTCATCAGCCCGTGTCTATTTTGGAGGCAGGATTGGAACTTGTAACCACTAGAGTGCAGAATTCAAACCACTAGGGTACAGTTCTGGTCACACAGCCAGCTTCAGAATCTAGAGAGCACTGCCGTATATCAGCTAGAAAATGATTTCTGACTTTAACTGTAACTAGTGGAAACTAAACCAGAGAGCTTTAATGGGGTACCTTATAAACAAGTTCAACAGCCTCACCATGTCTTACTGTTCTCTCTCATTGCAGTCTCTTCTCACTCCCACTCAGTTAACTTAAATCTATGACAATGCCAGAGTAAACATCAGCATCCCAACACTTTTAACAGTACCCAGTTAATACCCTTCATACTTAGAAAGTACTGAGAAAAAGTCATCAAGCTTTCTCAAACACATTGTTGCAGTGCAGGGATAATCTTGCCTAATGTTTGGTTTATTTCAATGTTAATATGTACTGAGCTGAATTGTGTCATATCCTTGACTGTTATTACCAGCAGAATTCTTATCATTCTATGGTTTATTGAACTTTTATCTCTACACTTTAGCCTTTGTGTATTCCCCATCAAAGAACGCACTGTATGGTAAGTGACATACTGTAAAATTTGTCAGGTAGCTGCTGTGACCTGGCATGCCAATAGAGTTTATCAGATTTTCACATGTTGGCTGTTTCATTAGCACATGGTTTTGTTCCGTGTGTATGAGCAGCTTAAAGTGTCTTCGCATATCCAGTAGTAATAGAAGCATATGTTGATTGAATCCATGAAAATGTTACATTCTTGCATGTGCCCCTTATTGTTGTATAGCTTTTATACCGGGAGGGCCTTATGTATTGAGGCAGAGCAGTTTCTCACTAAACTGGTTTGGGAACTGAGATGAATGGAGCTGCTTCAGGAATCCCATACTTCCATTATAGGAGATGCATTTGGCTGGCTGGGAACAAATATTTAATCTCTAGCTGGGTTAGAGGAATTAAAAAGCATGCAGACAGTATTGGATTTTGTGGCAAACCATTAAGCATCAGATTTTATTCTGTAACTTTACTGACATTGGCGGAGTTGTTAGTTTACACTAGGGATATACTTAGCCCCAAGACTTGACGAGCCTATTTCTGGAAACTTGGGGAGGTAGTATTGTAGATAGCCAGTAGAAAGAGAGAGTGCATCCTTCCGTTACAGCAGTACATTCCTCCTCCCTACGTGAAAGTGAAAAATACCTTTCCTAAGTTATAACCCTTTAGATAGGCATTAATTACCAAACAATCGTTAGATTTCATTACTTTAGTCATAAAATATGGAAAGGGGGCTGAAACATATCAAATCAGCCTATATTTTTCAACCAGATTCTTCACTTGTGTGTTCCAAAATATCAGGTATAACTAATGGGGACAGGTGACATTGTACCAGGGAAGAAATTATTATGCTAATACAATATAGAGTATGCTGCTTCCTGGAGATTTTTGAAAAAGGGTGTCATTTTCAGCTGTTGTGAATACTGACATACTGTCAGAAGGGAGTTGAAGAATTTAAATCAAAGCTTTGTATCCCTTGCCATGAAAAAACTCCAGGTTGGGTCTCAGTTACAACTTCTTTGGAAACTACAAAGTCTTGCATTTCAAACTTTTAGATTAGACTTTTATCCAGAATTGAGGTCAGACAAAACTTTTTGGCTAAATGAAACCATATTGTATATTTTCCAGAGTCACAGTTGAAAGACAATCCTGCTTTTTCTATGCTGAATGATTCAGATGATGATGTGATATATGGGTAAGTATCACTATTGTGAAAAATCTCTTGTCATTCAGGGTTGCTGTATTTAATATAAAAAATTTTAAGAGCCCGGTAGGTTGTTCTTAATTGAAATCCAAAGATGCTGACTGCAGAATGTAAGACAACTATAGCTTCAGTCTTCTATTTTTGGGTCAGTTTATTCCAGAATGACTAGTGAGGCTTCACAGTATCTTGTCTTCTTTCTATTGGCTTAAAAAGGAATTGCCATAATACTGATACTAAAAGGTAAATTTCAATTAATTAGGTAATGGAATAGTCAATGCAGTTTGTAAAGGTGAAAGCACTGTGCAGAGCACAGGGCCAACGGAGACTAGAGCAGTCTCCCGCTGGTCCTGTGCTCCCTGTGACATTTCAAAATAGTAGCGCCGCCTAGAGTGGGGGGCGGGGATGGGGAGGGAGGGCAGGGGGGTGTCCCCAGCTGACTCTGGGCTCCACGTAACACTGCCACTTTGAAATGCCTTGTGCGGTCCAGGACTCCCATCTGACTCTGGGCTCCACGTGGTGCTGCCACTTTGAAACACCACATACAGCTCAGGCCATCTGGGGACTCCCAGCTGATCCTGGGCTGCATGTAGCATTTCAAAATGGCAGCGTTGCATGGAGACCAAGGTCTGGCCCTGGGTTCCACGCGTTGCTGCCTCTTTGAAGCACTCCCTCCTCTTCTCCTCCCCCCCCCCTTGCTGCCTCTTTCTCATAGACACAGCAATGGGTGGGGAAGCGACTAGTCGACTAGTGTGTCGATTATCTGGAGTGCATATTAGATAGTCAACTAGTTGTTTACATCCCTATTCCCTACCTAAAGGCAGAGGTAAAAACAATGGCAGGCTGCAGTGGGAGAGTGTAAAGTGGATGGCAGGGTTTGGGAAGAGAATACGTTGGCAGAAGAAAGCAGGTGGAGGAGGAGTGCTGGAGTCAGGTTGGCAGGATGAAGGATGGAGTAGGTTGAGAGTTAGTACATATTTAAAATGGCCACTGCTGTAGGGGAAGACATTGGTTACTGTAGGTATCCAAAGTTGGTTAAAAATATTAACAATCAAATCCAGTGCAATTGCCTGAGTTCAGATTCTGAACTTGACAGTAATAGTCATATTTACATAGCATCTAAGAGGCCCAGCCCAGTCAGAGCCCTATTTTGCTTAGTGCTGGACAAACACATTAATAAAAATATTTCCTCCCCTTGAGAATTTGTTTAAAAAAAGAAAAAGAAAAAGGCCCACACACAATAGGCAGCTTAAAGAGAGTGGAGGATGTGTTAAGGTGTTTTGTATAGATTAGTTATGTGAAGTTTGTAGTGATAGCTTTTTAGTCTTTTGCTTCTGTGTGTGTTTAGTTTTGATCAGTAGCAGCAATCACAGCTTGTTTCCTCATTAGCCATTGTCAGTTCCATAGGTATCAAGGTATCTGTCACTGTAACTGTAGTAACACACTGTACACTCAGCTAGCATAGGTATAAGAAGCACTGTAGATGGTGAGATGTGGCATAGGGAAGTAGAATGCATGCCTGAACCCTTACGGTATGTACCCAAACATATATCTATGCTTCTATTTTTCAGCTATGTCCCACTGCCTCCCTGCACTGAACACTTCAGTGATGTGTGGACAAAGCCTGTCTCTGACTGTGAAATGTTACTCCATGGGTTAATGCCTATATTCTATATACTGTTGCAAGTGTAGACAAGGCATAGAAGTGAACCTTGAGGAAGAATTTCATGAACAGTATTATGTATTGCTCACATCTCTTTACTGAAATGCATTCTCTGGAGTAGTGTATCCTTGTGAATGATATACTTACATTAGTTGTGAATTGATGGCCCAAATTATTGTGGAACTGGCTTAGTACCTTTTCCTATTTGCATAAAACTAAGTAGCTGTCCATTGTGTTCAGGATGTTAACAAAGATCTATTTGTTGACAGGAGTGACTATGAAGAAATGCCACTTCAGAATGGTCAAGCCATTAGAGCCAAGTACAAGGAAGAATCAGACAGTGATTGAGTTCCTGTGGAGGAGACTTGCTTAGGAGAATGCAAGTGATCTTGAGCTTTTTACTAGATGACCTCTTTCTTGGCTTTCTTATGAGTCTGCTTTCAACTGAACACTTATCTGCCAACGAAGGACTTCCTGTTTATTTCTGTTTACATAGTTAAAACAAAACTGAAGGAAAAATGGAAATGCTTGAAAAGGTTGTAGTGGAGGCTTCTAAAAAACCAAATCCTGTCTTTACACTAGAAAATGTCATACACCAGATTTCTGTGTTGAACAGATTGTTTTAACAATGAGGTGTTCCGAGTCTGGTTCCAGTTAAGAGCATCATGGAGTATATGGCGATTTAAAATGCTTCCTTGCTGTTAGTTTTTAGAGGATTATGTATGGTACATCACCTTCACTCCTGATACAGTTCGCATTAGCTATTGTGTACATTGGTGTTAAAGTGCCTCTCTTACTACTTCCCTTCCTCACCCTATCCACCTCAGTTGAAGGTACAAAATTGCAAGTATTTCCTTTGATTTCTGAGAAACCACAAGGTTTTTATTGCTCCTGCTTAAAGGGGACAGCATTCACAGTTCAGTGGTTAATAATGTAATTGACTCAGACACCTTGAGTTCATAAAACAGAAGTTTGCCAAATATGAATGTGAGAGAGGTACAAATATTCAAGTTCTGTAGAAGCCAAAATTTATAAACCGAATAATATAATCAATAGTGCAAAATAATTTGCAAGGGTTTTTCTTATAATTAATAAAACAAAATAAGACTAAGTTAAAATATCTAGATTAAAATATTTAAACCGTTGTAAACCTTGGTGGGAAACCCTTTACTTTCCTGTGTATTGGGGAGGAGAGAGAAGATTGTTACATTTCCTACAAAGAGTATAATATACAACTTAATATTTTTTAACAAAAACATTCTTTTAATTGCGAGATTCTTTTTCCTAAGTTAGGATTTTTCATGCAGTCTCCTCATAGCTGTTAAACATAAGTTAATATAAGAACAATCACTTTTGATATGTTGAATAAATATGCAAAAGTGTGTTCCTCAGCATGTTTTGTAAATAGCTTAATCTCCTCATCTTCAGACACACCTAAATAGCTATAATTAAAATGCCTGCTATTTACAAGTATCTTTTGGATTGTCCCTTTTCAGGCTATGCTATAACAATGTGCTAAAGAACTTCCAAATATTTACTGGAATATTGCTCATCATATTTAAATGTGTGCATTTCAATTCCCCTACCATAGTATAGGTGGTGTTTTTACAGGGAGACTCTCGATTTCTATTAACTTTTTTAAAAGCTTAATATTTTCAGGTATGCCACTGTGAATAGAGTTCCAGGGGAGTCAGCTGTTGTCACTGAATTCAGCTGAACTGCAAAGAATGAGCCAGCTGCTCCCCAAAGCTGGTGAGTTCTAATACTTAGATTTAACAAGCTAGCACAAAACAGCCTGTGTGATGTCTTACTGATTACCCAGAAGCAAGCAACACAGTTCTCTTAAAGAGACATACAGACAATGACATTATTTCACCCAAATTTAATTTAAATGTTAATATTCCCCTTTGTGTCCTAATCAACAGCTATAGTAATAGCCATGTAAATAGACAGTTCTTGTCTAACAAACATCTAACAATATATATAAAATAAGTAAACACACACAATTAAACTAGAACTTTGAAATGCAAATCTACTTGAATGGCCCTAATCTCTTTCTATAAAAAAAAAAAAGTCCTGTGGGACAACAGTGATGTCATCACGTCACGCTGCATTCCTCCACCCCATCTGCCCTGCTCCCTCCCCTTACTTCCTTTCGCTCTCAGGGTGGGCAGGAGCTGTGAGGCCTCCCCCCTCCGGTGCTGGAAGATGTGAGTCGCATGGCCTCTCCTTTACCTCCTCCCTATTGCTCCGGGGGGGCGAGAGCCATGAGGTCTCCTCTCTACCCCCCCGCCCCCCGTTGCTCTGGGGGAGCAGGAGCTGTGAGCCACGTGCCCTCCCTGCACCCCCAGCCCCGTCACTTATCCCTTCCACTGAAACCCCACAGCCTCAGCCTGCTCCTGCTCTCTCCCCCCTGACCAGACACCCTTCCTGCAGTCTGCTCCTGCACCCTCTCCCCGGACAGATACCTACCTCCAGAGAGAAGGGGGTTAATGTGCATAGTGAGCAGGGGCCGCAACCCCTTATTTACATACTTTTTTTTACATGTCTACAAGCTGACTCTGCATCCATTAGTCTTCAGGATGCTTAAACTTTCTGGCCATGTATCATACTTGGCATAAGATTTGTGGCAATTTTATAACAGTAGTAGCAACAATGGTTTTTATGGTCATAAGCTAATCAGATAACATCACAGCCATCTATTCCTGAATCTTTTGTGGGTTTTTCTGAGGTTTCATAATCACCATTTTCTTAATGTTTCTCTTCCCTGTTGCTGTATGAAATACCCACACAAACATCAGGGGAAACTGACAGAATATAGAGAACAAACAGTGATTTTGATCTATATGCAAAGACCTATCTATACTAGGGAATCAGCTGGTTTAAGCATAAAAGTTCAGTGTGTCTACACTGACCATGTTGAATTGACAAAACTAGCATTTAGTTCTGCTGAAAGCAAGTGGAATACAGAATATGTTTAGCATGGTTGTGTAATCCATTTTGTGGCTATGAAATTTAACAAATGTACTAGGAAGTTGAATTGCATTGGGAACCATTTCAGACTTGTCTTGCAGTCACAGTAGAGTGGTCCTAAACCACTTCATCTGCAGTAACCTCTGGGGTCCTGTGAAATTATACCTACTATATAGTAAATATCTAGTGTAGACTAAAGCCAAGAGAAGGCCAAAGTACTTTCATGTGCAGAAAGTAAAGAAATAGAACACAGAGAGATTTTCCCTTGGCATAGTAGGTGTTACTTGTAACAATATGTGGAAAAATTCACACAAGGTTCTTTGTAAAATGCAGTAGTTGTTGCCTCTTTAACTCCTTTTAGCTAACAGACTCTTTTTCATATAAATTTGTGATTTATATTATTTTTAATCTAAAGGAAAGACTGGGTTCTCTTTTTCTTAAATAAGAAAGCAAGAATGATTCAGGGCTTGCTTGTACTATGACTTTGTACAAAGGCAAGCTCAGGATCCAGTCACTGTCACTCCCTGTACACCCAAAAAATCCATTGACTTTCATGGGAGCTGGAGAGAGGGGAATGAGAGACAGTTTGTTTATGTGGATTTTTACTTTTGTGCATTCAAATCTAACACTATTTTATTCCAGTTATAAAAGTCATTTTTTGATTTGCTAAAGTATTTCTCCATGGAATATTTGAATTTTACTAATGCTATTTACTATAATCCAGGTTGCTTGTGATATAGAATATTAAATCTGAATGTATGAAATATGTTTTAGGATTCCATTAATTAAAGAAAGCTTTTTTTTTAATGCAACTTTAAGAAATCATGATATTTAGAGTTTGAGAAATGTTCCTAAGATGTTCCTGTCCCTTTATTTTTTATTACATTGCTCTTTAGAGGACTAAAATGAGGTGTTAGATGGGAAAAGTGCACTTTGGTTTTTAAAATTAATTATCTTAGTTTAGAAATATCAGTATCTTGTTAGAAATCTCGTATTGAACTGCCTCTTCTCATGCACAGAGCCCTGTGCAGATACAAAATTTCTATCTGCATCCAGTGCACTAAAATGATTCATGGATGCACATATCCATGGCTATAAAGTGGAGATCTGCAGGACTCTAGATATCAAATTTGGATCTGCATATGTCTACAATCCACAAAATATTATCCTCAGATGTAGATATGTGGATATAAAGCAATATCTGCAGATTTACAGGGCTCTCTACTCATGCATACTGTATTTTGTACTAAAAAAAGGTACAGTGTAGATTAGCAAGTTTGGCTAAAACATTACAGCATTAAATTCACTGCTTGCCTAGTAAATAGGTAGAAGTAGTAAAACTGGCTAGATTATAGTCTCTGGAGCAAGAGATTATGTATTTCATGCTTTGTGGTGATCAATATTGAACATTTCATAAAGATACAATTTGGTACCTACGATTACTCTGACAAAGTCTCATGGCAAGATGGATAGTAAATATTTTGTGAGGGGTTGTATTCTTGTGTTGCTATGCAGTCTGTTGCTGTTATGACCCATGGATTAAATGAAAGGTGCCTACCTAAGAAATTAACTTGGCTTGCTATGTATTTTCATATGGCCAGCATATATGTCAATAAGGGAAGTATGTTTTCTTCCCAAAGAACTACAGTTAAGTCAGTGCACTTGTATCGGGCTCTTGTAACTAGTAAACACACTTGGGTGGATTTTTTTACCCCCACTTTAGGCCTTTGTCTAATAACCAATCATATAAAATAATTCCAGATTAATCATTCTTCAAAAGGTGTAAATAGGAACATAGAAAAAAGAGTAATGTATACAAAATACAGCCATAACGTAGTGGGTTTATTGCAAAAATGGGATGTTCCTCTTTATAACAATGAGGGTGTTCTTCTTCGAGTGATGTCCCCGTGGGTGCTCCACTACAGGTGTCGGGCTCGTCCCGGCGCCGCAAACCGGAAACTTCTTCATAGCAGTAGCCCCCTCCGGAGGGCCGCGCGTGCGCAGTGCGTCCCACGGCGTTCGCGCCTTTTCTGCGTCGCGCGGTCCGACCCGCCAGTTCCTCCTAGCCGGAACATCTGCAAGATACAAGAGAGATCTCCGAAGCAGGGAGGAGGGCGGGTCGTGGAGCACCCACGGGGACACACATCTCGAAGAACAGAAGTTACTGCACAAGGTGAGTAACCTTTTCTTCTTCTTCGAGTGATGTCCCCGTGGGTGCTCCACTACAGGTGTCGGGCTCGTCCCGGCGCCGCAAACCGGAAACTTCTTCATAGCAGTAGCCCCCTCCGGAGGACCGCGCGTGCGCAGTGTGTCCCGCGGCGTTCGCGCCTTTTCTGCGTCGCGCGGTCCGACCCGCCAGTTCCTCCTAGCCGGAACATCTGCAAGATACAAGAGAGATCTCCGAAGCAGGGAGGAGGGCGGGTCGTGGAGCACCCACGGGGACACACATCTCGAAGAACAGAAGTTACTGCACAAGGTGAGTAACCTTTTCTTCTTCTTCGAGTGATGTCCCCGTGGGTGCTCCACTACAGGTGAGTATGAAGCAGTCACCCTCGCACTGATTGTGCTTCGGATTTACTTGTGCACGGACGAAAGGACTGCTTGAGCGACTGCTGTGTCAGCGACCTTGAGACGGTCAAGGGCATAGTGTCTAGCGAAGGTGGATGCGGACGACCATGTCGCTGCCCTGCATATGTCTGTAAGAGATACATTTTTCATAAAAGCCGTGGAGGCAGCCATACTTCTGGTTGAATGCGCTGTTAGCGAACAGGGCAGAGATTTCCCCCTGAGAGTGTAGCAACGGGTGATGCAGTTAACTATATGTTTGGAAATACGTTGGGACGACAGCTGATGACCTTTAGAGCGATTAGCGAGTGATAATAGCAAACGCGGAGACTTCCG